TCCCCCCACTTCAATTGTAAACTGATTCAATATATATATATATATATATGCATATAAGAATAATGCTTATTATCTTATCTCCGAAAGATGGTGAGGAAAATTATTTTAAAATTACGTCATTTTAATAAAATTTCATTTAAAAAGATTAAAATATCATATTTTTAAATCATAAATTAAAATATTTTTTGTTTTTTCATGTAATACTTTATTAAAATTATGAAATTTTGAAATATTTTTTCTCTTAATTTTTAAAAGTAAAACAAATAAAAACTAATACTTATATATATACAAATTTAACCTGTAATTTTTTTAATAAAAAAAACTATAATTTTAGGTTAAATTAAGTTAATATTTATCGAAAATAATATGTCAGACTCAATTTGAGGGTGCATTCCCTGCTTTTCAACGTGGGCGTCAGCGCGCCACACAGGAAAATGCAAATTTAACCTGTAATTTAAAAAGGGCATATTTTAGAAAAAACCAAACATTATCACCTTTCTTGTCAAAAAAAAAAAAAACATTATCACCTTTGTTACCTTAGTCAACAAATCAAACGGTACTCTTCCATCAAAACGTGATTCTTTTTGCGGTGTCACATTCCTCACCTCTCTCTCTCTTTCTCTCCACTTGTCTGTTAATTACAGGTCGGTGGCCCACATGCTCCCACCTCTCTCATATGCATGCACTTCCCCAACACCGCCCCTCGTAAAATTCACAAGCCGAAAATAAACCCCCACTAGTCTACTCTACTCACCCTATTTCACAAGCTGTCTTTTTCTCTTTTCTTTTTTTATTTTTTTTATTTTTCAGAATTTAGAAACTGGATTAAACTTTAATTAATTTACAATTAAACTGTATTAAACCTAGTAACAAAGAACTTTTTTTGAATATTTATTTTTTTATTTACAAAATTTAAATTTAAAATATTATTAAAAAAACTAAAATTTTTTACTCAAATCATTAGATTATTGACCATTTTAAAAATGAGGTTCAAAGGGTGTTATAAGATAATTTTATTATCTTATTTTTTTATATAATTTTTATATATCATTAAATAAATATATTTAATATCACAAATCTCACTTAAATTAAAAATTTAATCTTTTTGAATGGCCTATCAAATATAAAAAAAAATTATCCCAAAAAGTCATTTCCAAATGAGTTTCTCTCTCGCATCGGGAGTCCACACTTTATCCACTTACATAACTCCACGTGGCGTTCCATTATTGGCCCATTCCCCAGAATCCAATGACAGTATTTTTAGTATAAAAAAAAACCTCAGTTGGTTACCCTCTAAAGCCGACCGCACCAAAGAAAACGGTGGTAAAATGGCGCGAATATCCCTCACCTTTCCGGTGATTTTCCCCGCAATTATCGTGATTTCTCTTGCTCTCCTCCTCGTCTCGAGTCCAGTCACCGGTGGCAGCCCTGACTACGGTGATGCCCTCCGCAAATGCATTCTCTTCTTTGAAGGCCAGCGATCTGGCAAGCTCCCTGCTGATCAACGCGTGAGATGGCGCGGCGACTCTGCATTGCAAGACGGAGCAACTGCCGGGGTAGCTAATTACCATACTGCATTCTCAATCTTTCATTCCTAGCTTAATTTACTCCATTAATGCCTCTGCATTAATAATTTTTAGGTTGATTTGACGGGAGGGTACTACGATGCCGGAGACAACGTCAAGTTTGGGTTCCCGATGGCATTCACGACGACATTGCTGTCTTGGAGCATCATAGATTTCGGCAAGAACATGGGGCCGGAGCTTCGGAATGCCGTTAAAGGCGTTAGGTGGGCGACGGATTATCTCCTAAAGGCGACGGCGAAGCCTGACATCGTTTTCGTCCAAGTTGGTGATGCGTACTCAGATCACAGCTGCTGGGAAAGGCCGGAGGACATGGACACGCTGCGTACGGTGTACAAAATCGACGCCAACCATCCTGGCTCCGACGTTGCGGGCGAAACCGCCGCTGCATTGGCCGCTGCGTCCATCGTGTTCAGGTCACGTGACCCCGCGTACTCGCGCTTGCTCCTCCATCGAGCCGTTAAGGCACGTCCCTTTCACTTCTTATATTATATTATATACATATATTTTTTTCATAGAAGTTTTTTTTTCTTGTATTTTTTACTTTTTCCTTTCTTTGCAGTTAATGTTTTTTTCCTTTTTCCCTCATACGAGAATTTCCGGAAATTTAGCAACAAAATTGACCGTTACGTGGAAATGCTATGGTTACTGTAGGTATTTAACTTTGCTGACAAGCACCGGGGTGCGTACAGTGGCAGCCTGTTCCGTGCAGTGTGCCCTTTTTACTGCGACGTGAACGGTTACCAGGTGAGAGAGAAAAGTGGAAAAATGGGGATACCATGAATGATGATATTGTCGTATTTTTCATTATTAATATTGTATTTTTTTGTTTTAATTAATTATTTTATTATTTTATTAAAAATAAAAAAATTTTAAATTTTAAAAAA